AAAAAAAACATAAATAAATGAGTGTGTGTGTGTGTGTGTATGTGTGTTTTTTAATAGTGACCACTAGGAGGTGGACTTGTTTGATGAACTTCCTGAAAGAATGACAAAGCAGGAAATGGGAAACTTGTACACATATACACGTGTATACACACACACCGAAACACACAGAAGCAAAGACATTCAAGTCACGGGATTTTTTTTATTCACTTTATTGTGGTGGTTATAATTCCTGTCAAAAACTCTTGAGATACTCTACGGCACGGAAGTAATGTTCTTTCCCCCATCATCGCTAATTAAAATTTGCTTGGTGCTATTTTTAATCGGTGTGGAATGAACTGCCAATACGTCTGGCTGGTAGACATTAAGCTATATATTTGGTTGATAGCTTCCCTTCCTTCCATACTCAACGTCGTCTTCCATCCAGACCTTGCTCATCTCTTCTGCTCCTTCTCCAGTGAAATATTCTTAAAATAGGAGACCTAGAACGAGACACCAGGAGGTAGGTCTCACCACTAAGAACGACCTTGATGTCCCTTCTTTTGTAAGCAACTTCTTCAGCTGGTCTTGTCTTTTTCTTTCAGGCACAAAGATCGTATTTTCATTCTTTTCTCATCCCGTTCCCCCACCCCACCCCACCCCGGCTGGAATTAACACTTGCGGTGGTGTTAATAAGTTCTTGAACATGGTTCCTTCTTTTATGGCGAGGAAGGAGAAGGAAGAGAATGAGGAGGACAAGGGAAAGGAGGAGGAGGAGAAGGAGAAGGAGGAGGAGGAGATGAAGGAAGAGGAGGAGGAGGAGGGGAAGAAGAAGAAAAAGAAGAAGAAGCATAAGGAGGAGGAGGAAGAGGAGGAGGAAAAGGAGAAGAAGAAGAAGAAGAAGAAGAAGAAGAAAAAGAAGAAGAAGCATAAGGAGAAAGAGGAGGAGGAGGAGAAGGAGCATCAGAAGAAGGAGCATCAGAAGGTGGAGTGGCCGTGGCCGAGGCCGTGGCCAAGGCCGTGGCCATGGCCGTGTCGGAGGAAGAGGAAGAAGGTCATCATCATCGTTGGTCCCAGGCCATTCCCTCCAGATTATGGTCATCCACCTGAGTTCTCAAACCCTAGAAAAGATTAATAGAATTTCCCAAGCAAGCAAACATATCTTTGGCATTCCAACAAGACAAGAGAGTTTTATATTCCGGGGATACAATGACCACCCATAGAAGGTTGCCATGTCCAAGATGATCTCACAGGGCTTCTGTATTGAGATGACCACTTCTGCTGTGATTGCCATGGATCCAATATTTAACACCTAACCGGTTGTGTTTTCCAAAGCTTGTCCATCTATAACCTTTTCCTTAAGTTCTCCAGTGAAGCTCAGGAGGAGCCTACCAAGGTCTACAGCCAATTGTATCCCTTTGCTGTCATCTAGTGGACAATTTGAATACCAAAGACTTCTAGTCTTCCTTTCTTCTTTCCTTTCTTCCTTCCTTCCTTCCTCCCTTCCTTTCGCTCTCTTTTGTCTCTCTCTCCTTCCTTCCTTCTTTCCCCTTCTTCTATTTCCTCCCTCCCTCTCTTCCTCCTTCCTTCCCTCCTTCCCTCCCTCCCTTTCTTCCCCCTCTATTTCCTCCCTTCCTCTCTGCCTCCCTCCCTCCTTCTTCTACTCTCCCCTTCCTTCCTTCTTTCTTCCCTCCCTCCCTCCCTTCTTTCTTTCTCTCTTTCTCTCTCTCTTTCTCTCTCTCTCCTTCCTTCCTTCTTTCCCCTTCTTCTATTTCCTCCCTCCCTCCCTTTCTTCCTCCTTCCTTCCTTCCTTCCCTCCCTTTCTTCCCCCTTCTATTTCCTCCCTTCCGTTCTTCCTCTCTTCCTCCCTCCCTCCCACCTTCTTCTACTCCCTCTTTCTTTCTTTCTTTCTTTCTTTCTTTCTTTCTTTCTTTCTTTCTTTCCCCAAATGCTTCTACCTCCTTTTTTCCCGGAAGAATCCCATAATGGATGCCTTTCTGAAGATGCACTTCAGCTCGTGGACAGAACAAGCAGGAACATCCAGGTTTCAGAACGAAAATAAAGCTTTCCCATCACAGCAACTTGCTTCTCTCTGTGTCTAACCCTCTGGAAGGATTATTTCCAGTCTTAAGAACGCTAAATGGAGAGAACTTTCCAAGATGCTGAACGCTTTTATGCTGTATTACTGACATCCCTCGTGATTAAAACACGCCCCTTCAGAATTGGGCTTTTAATTAACTTAGTCCGTGTTTTATTTTATTTTATTTTATTTTGTCTGCTTGGTGGCTCAAATTATTTTAAGAGTTGATGGGGAAGAACAAAGCCTCCATCTGCTTTGTAGAATGACCACTAATTCCCACTCCGTGAATTAGCTGACACTCATATTTTGCCCCATCTGAAATGTACTCTGAATTTGGAGGTTGGTGCTAAATACAGGGAGTCACGGCTGCTATGGAGCCCAAAATTGATGTCGCTAAGCGAGAAATTTGCTAAGCGAGCCTTGCCCCATTTTACGATTTTTTTTTTCTCGCCACATTCGTTACGCGAATCTTAAATTAGTCACACGGTTGTTAAGTGAATCTGGCTTCCGCATTGACTTTCCTTCTTAAAAGGTCACCAAAGGTGATGATAAGATCCCGGGATCAGTGGTGGGCTGCGACGGGTTCGGGCAAACCGGTAGTTCCAATCTGCAGCTGGCTCCACCCACCCACCCTGGCGCTATCACTTCCTATATAATCGCCAGTATTTCAATGCCTCGCGCATGCTCACATTTTCAGTTCCGGGAGAACCGGTTGTTATGGTATGTGACACCCAGCTCTGCCCGGAATGCTGCAACTGTCATAAGTCCAAGTCAGTTGCCAACTGTCCGAACTTTGCTCATGTGACCGAGGGCTGGCTGCAATGGTTGTGAGTGTGAAAAACGGTGATAACTCACTTTTTTCGGTGCTGTTTTAACTTTGAACGAGGCTCCTTGATTGATTGATTGATTGATTGATTGATTGATTGATTGATTGTGGTTGAAAAGTGTAGAGAAGAGGAACGAAGAAGATTAATGGCCTGGAGACTGCTTGAGCAGGGGGGTCGACTAGAAGACCTCCAAGGTCCCTTCCCACTCTATTCTATTCTAATTTTAATTTTAACTAAGAGGATCAAAGGCCTGAAGATTAAAACATACGAAGGACGGCTGCAGGATTTGGGTTTGGCCAGTCTAAAGAAAAGAAGAATTAGGGACGACATGATAGCAGTCTTCCAGTATTTGAGGGGCTGCCCCAAAGAAGAGGGGGCTCAAATTATTCTCCAAAGCTCCTGAAGGCAGGAGAAGAAACAATGGATGGAAATTAATCAAGGAGAGAAGCAACCTGGAATTAAGGAGAAACTTCCTAACAGGGAGGACAATTAACCAGTGGAACCGCTTGCCACTAGAAGTTGTAGGTGCTCCATCGCTGGAGGTTTTTAGGAAGAAACAGGATAGTCACTTATCTGAAATGGTATATTGATCAGGGGGTTGGACTAGAAGACCTCCAAGGCCCCTTCCAGGTCTATTCTGATTGATTGATTGATTGCAATTCAGGCACGTGGAAACCGGCACTTGCAACCCGTTTCAGCAGCTTGTGATCACGTAAGCATGATTTAGTAAAAAAAATTTGAAACCCACCACTGCCCCTATTCCCCAGGCAAACCCCTCCATCTTCTGCCACTTCCCAGGAGGCATCCTCAACATGAGGTCCTCTTCTGGTAGAACATTGCTTAGTCAATCCATACTTCGCCCAGTTTCATCCCTACCCAGGAGCATCTTCTCCGCCAGAGAATGAATCAGGGAGCTGTTTTGCTGATGGACCAGTTTTCTCTTCCCCGAGAAGCAGATGTTCGCCTTGATCTGCCCTCACCAACAAATATTCGGAAACCTTCCCAGCTGTTTATATAGTGCCGGGCCATTATCCGAGAAAGCAATTATAATTCCTGTAATCAGATCAAGCGTAAAATAAGTCCTGAGGATAAAGTTGGAAGAACACACTAAAAAAATAAAAATAAATCCTGGGTGAATTCAGACTAGGCCTTTTCCCAGCATGGATGTTAGACTCCCGCCAGAAAACGAAGCCAACTTCGATCGTGAAATCCAAGAGAGGCTAAATTATGACTTTTCCCCCTCCCCCATTTCCCCTTAATTTCTCTCCTTGCTGATCACATTTTTAAATCGCCGACCTCACTCACTCACAGATGGAACTCCTCTTCTTCTATTTTATTGCTATAGCAAGAAAAAAACACACACTCCTCCAAATGAGTTGGACCACGATAGATCCTCAAAATATGGCTTTTAATTTTCATCCTGAAAGGGATGGAGCAGGAATCACTAGATTTGGCCTCAGATCCATAAATTCCGCACTCATCCACAACATCTTTTCCAAAACATAAAATCAGACTTTTGTGGACAGGTTTTCTTTTGAATGAAGATCTCTCCTCTCCTCTCCTCTCTTCTTTTCTTCGGTTTCTCTCCTCTCCTCTCTTCTTTTCTTCAGTTTCTCTCCTCTCCTCTCCTCTCCTCTCCTCTCCTCTCCTCTCTTTTTTCCCCCCTTTGTTATTTCCCTTCACTTCTGTTATTCCCCTTTTCTAACTTCCTCTTTCCCTTCCTTTCATTTTCTCCCTTACCGGGAGAATAATAAAGTGCTACAAATGAGTCCCCTCTCTTTTGCAACCTGGAAGAAAAGAATCGACACCCCCCCACACACACACACACACTGCCAACGAGCAAAATCATCCTGCAGAATAGATTAAACGAGAAGATCAAAGCAACAGCACAAAGCATTGTGCTGTGCCTGACAAGACACTAAGTCTTCAAATGATGTTTCGTTCTTATTAAAATAATTTGGGCCGGAGGGATAAAGCTGTGCACAAATCACTTGCATATGAAAGCCCGAGGCACAAAGAGACATGCCTTAGGTAGCTGGGTGAGAGAAAAAAGAGTATAAAAGGGCTTCTTGTGCTGAGATCTTCCAACAGCTTCATCTCCTGCTCTTGATCGCTTCTCTTAGAGACTTTGGTAAGTCATTGGAAGATGTTGTTGTCGTTCTGATGTTCATTGAAATGTCCTTTCAGGCTTAAACTTCTTTGTTTTTTTTTTCTTCCCCACACAAAGTAGTTCAGGAAAAGCCACCGATGGATCCAAGCTGCAACCCTCAGAAAGGGCATAGATGGTTTGTGAGGGAGGACTTAATCCATCATTGTATTTTCAGAGAACCACAAAGAAGAACCTAAAATGATTTGAGTAGCTTTGGAAGTGACCAGCCAGCTTGGTTTTCTCCAGCTCAGGAGGCCTCAGTTGAATGGACTTCGGCTCCCAGAATCCTTTGCTCAGCATGGCCATTGCTGAACCTTCTGGGAGTCCAAAGTCCACTGATGTCAGCGTTTCGACGCTGGCATAGAGAGCAGAGGAGAGAGAGAGATAAGCTCTGAACTTTTGCCTGCTAAATCCCTTTGAAGTCGGGTTGTCGTGGAAATGAAGGGGGGGGAGACATTCCTGGGAAATGACGAGACAAGAAGTCTGAAGAATGACTTGGAAGATAGCCAATGAGAAGCAGAGATTTGGGGATCGGAAAGGGAGGGATTGGGGGGCAAAAGGTCAGTCTTGTCCGCATCAAGTCATGATCCAGTGGCTGTGCTCAATTAAAGAAAAGATTTCCTTAAAGATTGGCAGTTTGGAAATTCATTTATTTTGAGATAGCATCGAAGTCTGACAACCTCATAGAAGATTCCAGATTTGAGGGACCTCAAACCAAAAGATCTCCTCCTCCCATTTCCCGAATGCTCCATTAACTGAATCTGTCAGAGTATGAATATTCATAGACTGGAATAGGTCAGCCAATGAATAGGCATAGCCAATGAGGCTGTTTTGGAAACAGAAACTTAAGTAAGAAGCCTGGGCGTGGCTTAGGCCTGCAGCTTCTGAGTCTGTGCAGAGAAACTGAAACTAGTCTGCTCTGCTGAAATGAAACTAACTGTTCTGCCTTGTGTTTTGCTTGTAACTGCTGCTACGTTGAAGAAGAATCTATATTGGTATTGTACATTTATCTTCATGTATTATATGTATATAAAGAAGTTAATGTTGAATTAGTTTGCCTGTGTGTGCTTTTCTGGATTTGATTTCTACTGCAAACTCTGATAGAATCTTCTAATGTTTGGTTCCAGAAGGACTTCCATCAAACTATGGCTTACTGTGGACCAGCCTGTGCTGTCCCATCCTTGGCTTCCAGCCCCACCGTTGGATTTGGGTCAGCTGGTGCTGGGGGTCTTGGCTATGGGATCTTGCCCTATAACCTTGCATCCAGTGCATTGGCCGTATCTTCAGGAAGCCTGGGCACCTTGGCCGGAGTCAACCCTTCCTTCATCAACCAGATCCCGGCATCCGAGGTGGTGCTCGAGCCCCCTTCAGTTTTGGTCACCATCCCTGGTCCCATCCTGTCCCGCCAGCTGTGAGCCCACAGCTGTTGGAGGCAACGCCCCATGTGCCATCTCTGGTTCTGGTATCATAGGGAGCAACCTCTATGGAAACCCTCTCTCTGGAAACCTGGGTTTGGGGCTGAGGAGGGGCGCCCTACTGGGCAGTAGATCTCTTCTGGGAGGCCGTGGGAATATCTGTCTGTAGATCTGTCACCTTGCAAAGCCTGTCAATCTGGAAAACGAGCACGAATGGGCCAAGGGAATGAAGATCCGTCCTCAAATTATTTGGACTTGATACAAGAAAGGCTGAGCTTCTGGGACCAACTTTGAAGACATCAGTTTGTTCTCCAACTTTGGCCAAGTTTTTCCTCTTTCTCTTTTTCCTGTCTGAACTCCCAGAGCCAAAGTGGAGTTCTAAGCAGTATTTATATTTGTGTTCCTTTTGCCCTTGTTATTGTTGGTCTAGGTTGTTGATTATCAACTTTTTAGAGAATTGTCTGTTAAATTCTTCCTACATCCTAATTAAAGTTCAAACTGCACTTTAAGCTTCTTGTCTCCTTCAAGTTTTGTTCCATTTCTCACTCACTGCAAACCATGGTTTGCTTATTTAACAGAGCCCCACCTGTTGGATTGGCAGAGCACTCTAAACTCCATCCATCATATATATATATATAAGCAAAATATCACTCAAGCATCATCACAAAATCTCCAGAATCCTAAAGCCTACAAACTTGAAATTTGCCATGTATGTTCCTCTTGCCTTCTAGGTGCTCACTAAGAAAGGATTTTTCAAAATAACCATCACAGCATTAGTATTTCCTATATTATTATTAACACGCTCTGATGCTAAGGAGTTCTACTCCCCCTCCCCATTTCAAATGAAATCTGTTCCAAAAGCAAAACACAAGCAGAGGAGAGGAGTTTCAGTTTCAGTTTTACTTTCACATCAGCAAGCAGGATAGGGGAGGCTTCTGTGGGACAAGGCTGATGGGAGAGAAGGGGGATAGGATAGGGGAGGCCTTTGTGTGGCAAGCCAGAGGGAGAGAAGAGGATAGGATAGGAGACATTTCTGTGGGGCAAGTCTGAGGGAGAGAAGGGGAGAGGAGAGATCATAGCTACTCATTAATTTTCAAGCTGTAAGTGTCGATTTATCAAGCCCCATCACATAGTTTCGTAGCGGAGCACGAGTATTCAGCTAGAGTTTTATATGCAGAAGGCTGTGAAATTCAAACACAAAACACAAACATGTCTACATGATGGCTTAGCTTGATGTATAAAATCTAGCCATTATGAGAACAGATTGACTGGGAGAATTCTTAGACCAGACAAATGAGAAGATATTCTATGAACTTCTTGCTTGGGACCTTCTGGTATAAATTCATCCTGTATGGTGTAAAAACCAGCAGATTCCGTCTCAATTCAGACTCCGACGGGGGCAGGATACCAGCTGAATTTTTTAAAACGTTATTATCAAAATGTTATTCTTTTTCTTTTAAAAAGGATTTTGATAGAGATGACTAGACAGTCAATTAGCCCATAAACACTTATGTCTTATTTTATATTATGTTGTTTATGTTACATTGCGTTTCATCTTCGGTTTTATTTTATGTTATGTTATATTTTATGTTATATGCTACGTTTGATGCTATGTCGTGCTATTTATTAAATTTACATGCCGCCCAACCTGCTAGCGAGATGCGGGAAAATCTTAGTGAGGTGTGGTAAAAACACATTTAGTGGTAAGATGCCGTGTGAAGCCAATTAGAAATGTTGTCGCTCTGGATCCTCTACATACATTCTTGGAATCAAAACCACCCACTGGGCGTTCTTCCCTAGAGGGATTTAACTAGAACTCCCAGCCTCCCAGCCACGATGAAAGAACCTTCTAGAACCATAGTCCAGCATTAATTATTGATTTGGGGTTTACGTGGTTTCCCATTTCTGTTTCTAATATTGAGCCACAGATGCAACAGTTTTAGATACTGAACATGTTGGCTGTTACAAGGAAGAGGACATCAAAATTCCAAAGAAAACCCAACAAACATGGAATAATATGACTGGAGATTTATTGAAAAGGGCAATAAAACGACACAGTGGGTGAAAAAGCCATGAATTTCAGAAGAAAAGGAGGTGGGTCCTGAGCAGTTCAAAGGACGGGGAGAAAACAGGGAGAAAAAAAAGCAGAAAGCCCAAACCTTCTACAGAAAGTCTTCCAGTCCAAATCTTCTCAATCCAAGACCAGCAGAAGCAGTCTCATCATTCCTGTAACCGTGAGGATCCGTTTCTTGGGTTCTACCTGTCCATCAGTAACAACAAGGGATCAAAGTGACATTTCCACGGCCGCCCTGAAGATTCCTTCCACCGAGCAATCCTCTACTTGGGGCCATGGGCCTTCCCAGGATGCCGGCTCCAGGGGCAGCACATGGTGTGTGGCCTCCAACGGCAACAGGCTCACAGCTGGCTGAGAGGATGGGACCAGGGATGGTCACAACAAAAGAAGGAGGCTGGATCACGACTTCTGCAGGTGGAATTTGGTTGACGCAGGAGGGGATGACTCCGGACAGGGTTCCAAGTTCTCCAGAACTGATGCCTCCTCCAAAAAGACCACCTTGAAGGCCACCCATGCTTCCTCCATGAAGGCCACCCATGCTTCCTCCTTGAAGGCCACCTCCAAGACCTCTACCACTAAGGCCAAGGCCAAGGCCACCAGCGGAGCCACCAGAAGATCCAAGACCAAACTGTGGGGTGGAGCAACCAGCCGGGATGACGCAGGATGGAATACAGGAAGCCATTGCTGAAATCTGGAAACAAGGTCAAGAAGGAACCAAGTCAAAGCAAAGGAGAAGAAAATGAATGCATGTATCTTCACCGTTTATCATACTTCTCTCCTACCAGTTTCCTGAGATAAACTCTGTTAATTTTTACAGCTGTTCCTCCTAACAGACAAAAATTCACTTTATCCAGGGATCTTAGAGGGAGATACCAAGTGTGAAAAATTTCAGCTTCCGAGCTGGTCATGACAACACAAGCACAGAGCTTATTTCATAAAAGATGTTGATGTTGCAAAGAATCTGAAGACTTCATTGGATCCTCAAGCATACTTTAGCTATCCCACCACTTTCCTACACAAACCCAGAGAAGAAAAATGAACCTTACCTGCTGTTTGAGGAGATGTTGCGAAGAGTAGAGAGTTGAGTGAAGCTGTTGGATTTTGGAACGAAGAGCTGGGTTTTTATACTCTTGTCTTGGCATCTTGACTGGTTTGCGCTGGTCAGACTCTGCCTCTTTTCCGGCTTAAAGGTTGTGTGAGCCACGGCTGTTTTTCTTTTCATGTGGGCAACCAAGCATCGCTCAGCAGAAAATACGGGAGAATTAAGCTGCCATCATGAAAAAAATATCTATGAATCCATTTGCTTTATTTAATGTCCCTAATTTGTTGATTGGCATAGTGGTCAGGCTTAGCTGCTTTCAATTTGAGGGGAAGGAAAGAAGGAAGGGAGGGAGGAAGAGAGGAAGGGAGGAAGGAAGGAAATAGAACAATAAAAAGGGAGGGGAGGGAGGGAGGAAGATAGGAAGGAAGGAAGGAAGGAAGGAAGGAAGGAAGGAAGGTGAACCAAAGTTGTAATTCTTAAGGAAGCCTCAGAAATAATCCAACTACTTCAAAAACAATTCATTGAAGTCCCAAGGCGTCTCACGCTTAGGTGATTAGCAAAAATGTAGGTGTTAACATAAGAACATGATTGCAAAATGAGGCCACTTCAAAGAATTGGCCCATTAAGGATTTAACACGCTGAAAATTGCTTCATAAGGAAGGCTGAATATATTTCAGATGTCATAATAATCACCCCAAAATCCGCATCTTAATTTTACTGCTCAACCTGCAACCAGAGTGAAGCTCAAATGACCAAGGATGTTGCTGGAATACCAAGAAACAAGGACATCTCAAATACCTATTTCTCTCGTTCCCTGGATTCCTGCATTGGGGGGTCTCAAATTTTATCCTGTCCTCCTGGATCTATCAGAGAGGATTGAGTAAGTTGTCTTTGAACCCGGATCAGGAAACTGCAATGAATAACTGCTTTGTTTGGTTGATCAAATGCCTCTCTAAGGAACCAAATTGAGTTGAATAATTTTATTTGGCCAAGTGTGATTAGACACACAAGGAATCGGTCTCTGGTGCGAGGGTCCCTCCAGTATTACAACTTTGGGTGACGCAGTCCCAGGCTGCATTCATCGAGGGATAGAATCAAAATCATAAACACAGCCATTGCTTTACTTAATGGTCAAATTACCGTTCCCAATTTCGGTGCTGCATAAGGACAACGTAGAGGCGTAAAATGAGACCTAAAGAAGATCAACCTGCAAAGCATCCCTGCCCACCTTTTAAACAATGTTTGGATTTAAATCATTAAAAAGAGAGTTATGCATAATATGTCTGATCAATGCAGGAAGTTACTTTTATAATCTTTATAATCCTGTGGAACTACAAATCCCATTGGCATCCACGCTGCCTACAAGGCAGTTTCTTCTGAGCTGTCAGAAGAAATTTGGGAGGGTTTAGATGATTCCTTCAACCCCACGGGGTATTTGCAATTCTTGTTTTTCACCTTCCCGGGTGTTTAAATCAAAGGAAACGCGAAGGTCAATGCAAGCCAAGAGGAAGATGAAAGGAAGTGGCTGATGGGCTATTAGCCTTCTCTGATGGCACTTTAATTCTGCTGAGTTCTTAATAAAACTATTCTGACTCAGGAAAATGGGTAAAAATGGGTGTTGCAAACTAAGCTCATCAGAGAAAGAGGTGGCATCATAGACATTTGAGGATCCTGGCAGAATGGTATAAAAGCCCTGGCCTCTTCTGGAATCTCAACAGCTTCACTTGAGTTCTCCTATCTTCACAAGAAGATCTCAGAAGAAGAGGTAAGAGGCCATGGTTCTTGGAGGAATGTCCATGCTTAGCTAATGTGTGCTTGAGGATCCAGTGAAGTCTTCAGATTCATCACAAGGTCAACACCTTTTGTGAAAGTGGTTCTGTGCCTGTGTGGTCATGACCAGCTTAGTCTTCCAAAATTGGTAGCTGAAATTTTTGGTATCTCCTCCTAAGATCCATGGATAAAGTTTTTTTTGTCTTAGGAGGAAGAGCTGTAAAAATTAGCAGAGTTTATGTCAGGAAACTGGTAGGAGAGAAGTATGATAAATGGTGAAGATACATGCATTCATTTTCTTCTCCTTTGCTTTGACTTGGTTCCTTCTTGACTTTGTTTCCAGATTTCAGCAATGGCTTCCTGTACTCCATCCTGCGTCATCCCAGCTGGTTGCTCTACTCCACAGTTTGGTCTTGGTTCTTCTGGTGGCTCCGCTGGTGGCCTTGGCCTTGGTGGTAGAGGTCTTGGAGGTGGCCTTCAAGGAGGAAGCATGGGTGGCCTTCAAGGAGGAAGCATGGGTGGCCTTGGAGGTGGTCTTTTCGGAGGAGGCATAAGTTCTCGAGAACTTGGAACCCTAGCTGGAATCAACCCACAACCCATCAACCAGATCCCACCTGCAGAAGTCGTGATCCAGCCTCCTTCTTTCGTTGTGACCATCCCTGGTCCCATCCTGTCCGCCAGTTGTGAGCCTGTTGCCATTGGAGGCAATGCACCATGTGCTGCCCCTGGAGCTGGCATCCTGGGAAGGCCCATGTCCCCAAGTAGAGGATTACTTGGAGGAAGGAATCTTCAGAGCGGCCTTGGAAATGTCACTGTGATCCCTTGTTCTTACTGATGGACAGGTAGAACCCAAGAAACGGATCCTCACGGTTACAGGAATGACGAGACTGGCTTCTGCTGGTCTTGGATTGAGAAGATTTGGACTGGAAGACCTTCTATAGAAGGTCCTGGCTTTCTGCTTTTTTTCTCCCTGTTTTCTCCCCGTCCTTTGAACTGCTCTGGACCCACCTCCTTTTCTCTCTGAAATTCATGGCTTTTTCACCCACTGTGTGGGTACTTTATTGTTTCATTGCCTTTTCAATAAAGCTCTAGGCACATAATTCCTTGCCTCTTGGTTTTCCTTTAGATTTTTGATCTCCTCTTCCTTGTAGCAAAGTGGAGAAAATGTAGAATACAGCAGACCAGGTGAGGTGTTCACACATTCCAAAATCTGATATTCCATCCATCCATCCATCCATCCATCCATCCATCCATCCATCCATCCATCCATCCATCCATTCACTCTTGGCTTAGAGGATAGCATTCATTCATTCATTCATTCATTCATTCATTCATTCATTCATTCATTCATCCATCCATTCATTCATGGCTCAGAGCAAATTCAAATAGGGGATGGGAAGGAAAAATTTCAAAAATCTTACAGGAGCGGGGGAGTGATGAAAATATAATCCCTGGGGTTTCTTTTCCTTCCCCATCAGTCTGTAAGAGCTAAGGACCATCTGGGACAAACTTGTCTAGATGGACAAACTTCTTCCATCCAATTAAATTCTGAAACTGCCACCAGTTTAAAATATGAGACATTCTTGCAAAGCTTCATCTGGATGGTGCAAACCATTTCGGCTGAAATTGGAAGGCCCTGATAATGCAGGATATTTTAAATTGGGCACCCAAAAATTATGAAGTTGCATTCCAGACTCCAAGTGTCATCCGAGACACCCACAAAAAGCAGAGGAATTTAAATTAAAAAATCGTAACCATCTCTATGCAAGCACGATGCCAGAATGTTTTTCTCAGTCTTTTCCGCTGACTCAATGACAAAGCTGAGCTCATAAAGAATTCAGCGTATCAAATAATTAATGGGAAATGCAGACTTTTTCCTTGATCCCTTATTAGCATTGACGAGATGCCTGGAGTTTCTTGTTGAAACAACAATTAAACAACACACCTTAACTTATGCCCGTGAGTTTATACCTGCAAAATTGATTCGATGTTTGCTGATACAAATGCTTTTTTTTTAAAATTGTAGCAACAAACTTCCCCAAATGATTGGCCTCGGGATTAAAAAAGAGAGAGAGAGAAATTAAAAATAATGCTCGAATGATGAAAAGATAAACAATCTCGAAGAGACACGAAAACCGGTCTCCGGTTCAAAAGAAATATGCAGGAAATTCCTGCCCTGGGTTTAAATCCAGGTAACGAGAAAGAAAGGTAGGGAAAATACAAGAAAGTTGGCTATGGTGTTATTAGAAAAATAATATTAAACACAATTAAGTCAGAATTAAATCTGCGAGTCCCCACAGACATCCTGTTGGAGTTGTTTAGTAGTTTTTGTTGCTTGCTTAAAGGTTACACATAATTTAAGATGCAGAGGGTGTTCAGAAATTATATGCACTGTCAGATCTGAGTAAACCATAAAAATGTCACAGCATTAGGATGATGACGGATTTAATCTGGGCAGTCAGTTCACCTCTGCTTGTCCAGAACGATAAACCAAAGTTAATCCTATAATGTAACAACAGGGAGATCTTTATCGTACCTGGAGAAACCTGTTGTGTGCATTTCTTCTGTGCATTTTGTCACAGCTGTGAAAAACAAGATACGGTAAACCTGTAGAGCAAGGGTTCTGATTGTTCTCAAGAACCCCTTTCAGATAGAGGGCCCCCAACTCTTCAAAGGTCCTTCCGGGCAAGCATAACCTCTTCTGAAGACCTCTTGTATTCTCAGCACCACCAGTGAAGATCTGAAGATGATGAAGAAGGTTCTTCTTAGAAGTCAAAATAGAGAGAACCCAACATCCCATTAGTAATCCTGTTTTGCTTAGCCATAGTTCATCACCTGAGCCACAATGAGTAGACTTCATGTCTTAATCAATGCTTAACAAACCACCATGCCTGGGTTTCGTCCAACCAGCAATGCCAACAAACCAAACCAGGTCATAACCTTTTCTTTCAGGGTACTTCATTACATCCCCTCTTTCCTATTGGACATTTGAGGAACAAGTAGGCAGGACGACTCAGGAGCAGCAGCCAATAAGTATTCTAACACCTGTTGGGTTTATCAATGAACTATGTTGTGTTGTGGGCAACTCTGTACCTCTGTATTGTTTCATTGGAAGAATGACTGGGTGGAGAAGAGACACTGTCCACACAGCTGACTAGGTTTGGAGTTGATATCTGGTGTGACCCATAATCCACCTGGTTGGGTTTGAGGTTCAAATGGACTTTCACATCAGTATGGAATGGGTTTGGAGGTCCATATACCTGTGTTTCCCCGAAAATAAGACCCAACCAGAAAATAAGACCTAGCATGATTTTCCAAGATGCTTGTAATATAAGCAGTACACCCAAAATAAGCTCCAGTTAAGGTTGTCAGCCAGATGGATGCATTTAGTACTGTATTTGCCTGAAAATAAGACCTAACCAGAAAATAATCCCTAATGCGTCTTTTGGAGCAAAAATTAATATAAAACCTGGTCTTATTTTTGGGGAAACATAGTAATATGGTGAAACTCAAACTAACCTGGTTAAGCAGGTTGGGTTGAACATGCCTCAACAGAAGAACTACTGGGAATCCTCACTCTTCAGAAAACGTGATGAGAAGAGTATGGACTTCAAGAACCTCCTTTCCTACCACAACTTTTTGCCACATCTGAAACCCAAAACTCCTTTTAATAGCTAAGATGCTTCTAATAATATGACTGTTGCACCGTTCATTTAAAGACTGGAGTCAGTCCAGGGACTTTTGTAGAAGATGAATTTTTGTGGTTTGGTGTTCTACCATGCCATGGTTGCGTAATTCAAATGTTTTGTTGTAGTTCCTTCTTGGTTAACACAGATTTTGGGGGAATGACTGTAGACAAGCATATTGTTGCTTGAGAGCTAGGGAAGTTTCTCAACTAGGGAAGTGACAAAAATACAATTGTAATCAACCAGTAAATAAATCAGATTAAAAACCACCCAGAGGTATAAAACCAGAGAGTCAAAAATGAGAATGCAGCATGAGTTTTATTGAAGAAGTAGGAACAAAAGCATGAATGGTGAATTATCAAAGGCACAAGTGACGTACAAAGCAAATGATAGAGAAATGAAACAAGTACAGCTCTATTTTTCTCGTGGCCATAAAAGTTTGAGACAAGAAAGGAGAAACGCCAGTCCAGTGGAAGAAGATGAGCTTCAAAGGAAATTCTAGAAGCTCAACCTTTTCAGATTCTAAGCCCACAAATGGATCTTCATCTTCTTAGTCCATGATAGATCATTCCTATCTTTTTTTCAGAGCAATGCAATGACTAGCAGACATTCCCTCAATATCCTGGAAGACAGCTCCTTTTTGTCCATATGTCCATGTGCTCCCGAAGCCATAAGACCAGACTTCACTTCCCTAAAGAACCAAGGATCACACATGGTGTGTGTTGCCTCTAACACAAATGGGCTTACAGCCGATGAAGAGAATAGGTCCAAGGATGGTCACAATGGAAGCAGGTGGCTAGATGATGATCTCAGGTGATGGTGTCTGATTGATGATGGAAGCGGTGACACCATCTGAGCTTACAGCCAAAGCACCAGATCCATAACCATAACTCAAAGAAGGACCTCTGTAAACAAGATGTTTGCAGAGCTTCTTCCCTTGATACCTTCACTTAAAACCCTTGACTGACCAACTGAGCAGGGAAGATATTTCACAGGAGGATGTAGTGTTCTTTGCCGTAAGTGGTTGTGGGAATACTGGAAAAATAAACACAAGCAATGGGATCAAGGTAGAGCAGGCAGAGGAGAATTGTGAAAACTGCAGACAGGCCAAAATAGGGCCCGACACGCCTTAGCCAATCTTCTGAAATCTGGTTTGATCATGGAGAGTCCTGGTTTCCTTAACAGGGGAGGTTGCAAGGATTGCAGATGCTGCCACGGCGACTGAAACGTCCCAGGCGGCCTCCGAGGTAGCCATCACCCAAGCGTCCGAGACCTCCGGGGGCACATGGGGTTTGGCCTCCGACGGCGACGGGCTCACAGCTGGCGGAGAGGATGGGACCAGGGAGGGTGACCACAACTGCAGGTGGCCGGATGGTCACCTCAGATGCTGGGATCTGGTTGATGGGTCTGGGGATGATTCCGGAGAGAGTGCCCAGGCTTCCTGAGGTTTCACCAGCTCCATAGCCATAACCTAAACCAAGACTTCCATAGCCAAGACCGGCAGAGCCAAGACCTGCATAGCCGAAACCTCCATAACCGAGCCCTCCACAGCCAAGGCCTCTGGTACCAGCTGATCCGAAGCCAACAACTGGGGCGGAGGCACAAGATGGCACAGCACAGGAGGGTCCACAGTAAGGCATTGTGTTGAGTTGTGAAGTGAGTCTAATGTAAGAAATAGAGAGAGATCGTGAGAATTGCATTCAATTCACTTTTATCACCGTATCTGTCACTTCTTCTGTTGACCAACGGGATAACTTTAATAGGCTTTGATTTGCTAGAACTGGGGTGAATGGTAACCTTTAACTGATCTTCTCAATTTAGGCTTCCTCAACCTAAAATGGTCAAGAGGCTCGCCAGTACGGGCCATGAATTTTGGAAGGCAGAGCCTAACCTTTCCTTTTCTTAGAGGGGAGAAGAAAATTTTGAAGCAAAGGTCCAGCTTTAAAGACTTGGCTTTCTTTCAGCACCCCCATTATTTTTGAAACCAACTTTGGATCCAACATGATGGTCCTCAACCAACTGACTTCCGTTCTAGAAGAAACCAGCCTGCTTCTTTGACCTGACCAAGGAAAATGCATGGTTGAAGTCTCCAAGATTGAACATCAAATCAAAGGCTCCGTGTTTTGAACTTGGATATAAAGTAGGGGAGAAATCTGCATTTCTGTGTCTCCTGAGTCCATCAAGCCTAAAAATACTCTGTAAATATTAGCCAATCTCTGTGCCATATACTTTTGTTTAAGGCTGAAGACTTGTGCTTCTTTCTTTGGCCAGCTAGTGGCCAAGTCATAAGAAGACCAGGAGAAAGGTCTGCCCATATTTTTCTTGTCATCTTCTCCAAAACTAAGATTAGATCTCAATTTCTCAACTGGTTTCATGACCTCTGAATAAGAAGTCAGGGGTTTTTGAATGAGAGTTTTGCTCATTCTACTTAACAGTTGAGTTCACTGGAGACCCTCAAACATTTGTCATTACAACCTGGATCTTATAAACATGACCATCCAAGCTATCTTAGAAAGACCCGGTTGCTTTCCAGTATCCTAACCATAAACTCTTTGGATGGTAAGCGAAAAATAGAGAAGGAGAGGTGGGGAAAAAACATCAAAATGAAGCCCATCCTAGTCCTTCAAATAGAAAGTGTGAAGCTGGTTCTGAAAGCAGAAGCATCCAGTAGCATTCTAGCCTATGATGAGGTCCATATTTTGAAGAACCTCAGATTCTGACTTGAAGATTCTACCTCATCTGCTTACAACCAGGAGGGATTCTTTCTGAATAGATAGTCTTACCTGCTTCGTAGAGAAGTAAGACAGGAGAATCAAGCAGAACAATTCTAGTCTATGATGAGGTCAATATTTTGAAGCACCTCAGATTCTGACTTGAAGATCTATCTCAGCTGTCTCAAAAAGATTGGATTGCTTTCGTTCCTCTCTCTCTCCCTCTCTCTCTCTCCCTCAACCTCCCTCTCCTTCCATCCCTTTGACACTCTCTTTTTCTCCCTTTCTCTCCAAACTCTGACCTCTATCTTCTGAAACTCAAAACGAAGCCTTCCTACTCCTTCAAATAGAACACCAGAAGCTGATTCTGAAAGCAGAAGCTTTCAGAAGCATTCTAGCCTCTGATGAGGTCCAAATCTTGAAGAATCTCAGATTCTGGCTTGAAGATCTCCTTATCACCCTTGCAGCCAGGAGGGATTCTCTCTGAGTAGATAGTCTTACCTGTTTCTGAAAGAAGTAGTGAAGACAGGAGTGTCAACCAGAAGCTAATGGCACTCCAGAGAGAATAGAGAGCTTTTATACGATTCGGATCGCGTCCACAGGAAGTTGGGACTCATAAAACTTCATTAGGCTTCCTACAATTTGCATTTCCGTCATTCAAAAGAAGAAAAAAAAGGTTCTTCACTCAGCAGAAATTGTCGCCTTAGCATTCTGTGGTACAATCATCATGTCACCACAAATAAGCTACTGGATGAACTGTGCATCCTTTTAAATTTGCCGACTTCAGGTCAAATGCTTCTGTTTATCTGATCTTGGAAATGTGCCACTGCCATGAGGCGGGGATAAAGGTAAGATCAAAGCTGGGTTGTTGTCTTCAGTAGCAACTCCACGAAAATGATAGCATTTCCTTGAATCAGCACAGAATATCTCTGACTTCAAGGTGGGGAGATTATGACTCTGCAGATATCCATGAATCTACCCAATACGTTGGGAAGATGGAAAAATGGTGTTCTCCAGGCCTTGTTGAAAACCAGTAACCCCAGTTCACTCTGATCCTGAGGCCACCTGCTCCAGGTTGACTTTACTCTTCAGTAATGTCTGGAGGATGAAGCACCCTGGAGGTCCAATCACCAATTCCAGAACCTCAGAGTTGAACTTTCTCCATCATGGCCCCCCTTTCTGAACTATCTAACCCAAACATTTTGACCAACCCAACTTTAGTAAGCTTTCATGGAGCCATGAAAACATGTCTGTTCCAGAGCATGTTTGAAGCAGTGTGAAGATCACATACTGATGTTGGCACACAACTTCTCAAGCTCTGATAATGATGGTTTGTTCAAATAAATTAGTTAACATGGCTTAGCAGGATAGATAAATCCAACTCTGCAGTGATATCCTGGAGGTCCCATCACCTCCAGATCCTCAATGTTCAACCTTCTTATGATGGTCTTGTCACCTCCAAAAGCTCAGAGTTCAACCTTCTCCATGATAGTCCCTCTGTCTGACTATTTGGTTTATCCCAAATATTTTGACCAACCCAACTTTACTAAGCTTTCAAAGAAGCATTGAAACATTTCCATCTATAAAAACATTTTGCACCGGCAAGATTGGCAAAAATGTTTAAAGACAGAACAGATAAAGGTTGGAAGTCTAATCAAGCATCTGGCACATATTATCATATGTGGTAGACATGCCCAAAAGCAAGAAAATATTTCTGTTGTTTTTGTCTCTTTTTGTGCTGGTTTCTTCTCAGAGTGGAGTGACCTACAAATCAGAGTCAGTAAATAAATGAACAAGGAATCCTAGTAGATTATTTTAAAGTCATTGATGGACATCCATCAGCAAATGTCCCTCCACTGGGAGACTCCTGCCTTTGTGGAGCGATTGATGGCATGATGAATGCCAATTCTTCTTGAACTTAAATATTGAGAAAAGAGTTTTGATTTTTTTTCCCCTTTCATTTTCAATTGTTGCCTTCACCTTTTAAGAACACAAAAGAGAGGTGGTGATGCTAGGAATAGACCAGGTCCATCCATAACAATTTCCATGTGTCATGCCTTCATTCAGTCATTGTGTTTTGAATGAGTGAGTGACGTCCATCGAAACAAGAAAAGAAAAGATCAAAGGGACAATCACAATTTATGTGGTTGACAAAACGCCATGTCTTCAACACTCATTTCTACTTATTAAAGTAATAAGCTGTGCAGAAGCTGCTGATTAATGAAACCCTGGGGCGCAAAGGGGGTGTCTCTAAGCCTTCCGGTGGTGACAGAGAAACAGTATAAAAGAGCTTCTTGCATTGACAGCTTCCATCAGCTTCATCTCCTCCTCTTGACTGCTTCTCTGAGAGTCTCTCTGGTAAGTCCCTTGCATCTGAGATGCCTTCTAAGCTGTTATGGCACTTTGTGTCATGGAATGGGGTGGCGTGGAAGATTTACAATATATTGTACTCAGAATCTGATGGAAGGAAGGAAGGAAGGAAGGAAGGAAGGAAGGAAGGAAGGAAGGAAGGAAGGTTCTGACTCCTCTTAGGAAGAGCCTAGAAACTTGTTTCGCTCTGACCTTTCAGAGCTCTGAGCATTCAGAAAACATGTTTGTCTTAGACTGAGAGTTACAGCGACCTGTATTTCATTCAGATGTTAGGAAAAACTTCCAGATTTGTAGAACTGTAGAGCAGCCATCTGATAGGGGTTGTAGCTTCTCCATTTCTGGAGATTTTTCAGAAAAGACTAAACCATTACTTCTTCATCCCATGCTTAACCAGTTGGAATGTCCCACAATTCATGAGCTTTCTAAGTGACTTCCAAGAAGCAAAGTCAATAGGGAAACCTGTTTCTCTTTTAATGACCAAGGCAAAACAGGTTGTAAAATCAAGTGTGTGACTCCCTTAAGGACTGCCCCACTGGACAATGGGATCCAAATTTGAGTTTTTGAAAATGAGGATGTTATTTATGACTGTCCCAAGTGTGATCATGACTTGCTACCAGAAGTTGTAGATGCTCCAATGCTGGAGGTTTTTAAGAAGAGATGGGACAGTCATTTGTCTTAAATGGTAGAGGGCTTCCTGCTTGAGCAGGGGGCTGGACTAGAAGACCTCGGAGGTCCCTTCCGACTCAGTCATTCTCTGTGTTGAGGGCTACCTGTCCATGATACCAGGAAGGGTTTTCCTTGAGGAAATTCATGCTCTGTGTGTGAATCACCAAACACATAGTTCTTCTTCTTCTTCCAACAGCTCTTCCATCCAGCCATGCCTTACTGTGGACCCTCCTGTGCTGTGCCATCTTGTGCCTCGCCCCAGTTGTTGGCTTCGGGTCAGCTGGTGCCGGAGGTCTCGGCTATGCAGGTCTCGGCTATGCAGGTCTCGGCTATGCAGGTCTTGGCTCTGGAGGTCTTGGCTCTGGAGGTCTTGGCTCTGGAGGTCTTGGTTTAGGTTATGGCTACGGAGCTGGCGCCTTGGCTGAAAGCTCAAGAAACCTGGGCACCCTCGCCGGAGTCATCCCCAAACCCATCAACCAGATCCCAGCATCCGAGGTGACCATCCAGCCACCTGCAGTTATAGTCACCATCCCTGGTCCCATCCTCTCCGCCAGCTGTGAGCCTGTCGCTGTCGGAGGCTACAACCCATGTGCCCCCGGAGGTCTCGGACGCTTGGGTGCCGGCTACCTCGGAGGCCGCCTGGGACATTTCGGTCGCCGTGGCAGCATCTGCAATCCTTGCAACCTCCCCTGTTAAGGAAACCAGGACTCTCCATGATCAAACCGGATTTTAGAAGATTGGCTAAGACATGTCTGTGGCCTACATTGGCCCACATCTATCTTTCACAAGTCTCTTTCTTCTGTCTCCTGGCCACCTTCAGCAGATAGTACCATGCCTTCCTGTGAAATGAGCCCCCTGCTAAATTGATAAGGGAAGGGTTTTTGAATGAAGTTATGAAGGAAAGAAGATCTGTGGACATTTAGGACCTTGTCCCTTCCCTGCCCTCTAAAACTATTTCTCAAACAGGAAATGTGGATTGCTTTGGATTACTTGGCGCATCTGATGGTTTTTCTCAATGTTCTTTCTTTGCACCTGAATAAAAGTGATTCTGCATTGCAAACTACTCGTTCTCCTTGGTTGTCATTTGACGATGGGTGAAGTCTTCTCTTGGTGGCTGTGGAGGGTTTTTCCATGGAGCCTGGGTGGGGTAGGGGTGGAAAGAGAAGGGTGGCTAAGGTTGCCCTGCTGATGAATAAGCTATGGTGGGTGAAGAAGATCATTGGTTGGGTTTGCCCTTTGCACTGATCCATGTTAACTGGGCCAGGTCTGGGTCAAAGCTGCTAGAAGGACTATCACAATTCGGGTTCTCCTGCCCCTCTATTCTGCCTTGCTGACACCTCATCTGGAGAACTTTGTACAATTCTGGGCACCACATATTGAAAAGGATATTCCATTTGGAGAAGGTTCAGGGGAAGGTGACAAGAAGACATGGGGGTCTCTTTGCTATAGGGTTTCCTGCTTGAGCAGGAGGTTGATCTAGAAGACCTCCAAGGTTCCTTCCAGCTCTATTCTAATTGATTTATTAGATTGAGGACATGCCTTATGAGGATGGGCCAAAGGAACATGAGATATTTAGTCTCAAGTCAACAAACCTAGAGGGATCAGCGTAGGTCCATTATAGGACAAGGTTCAGAATCATGAAGGGAAGGTACAATCAAGATGTTCATGGACCATCTCTTAGGGGCCAGATCTAGATGGCCTCTAAAATGTAATTGATGAAATATAGTTATCCAAAGCATGAAGGTTAATGAGTTTAATTCCTTGAAGGGGCTTTCAATTCCCATAGAACAACATATGGCTACTCACCTCTGAAGATGCCTCATAAAGATGAAACAGGGTTAGAGTTAGGGTTGTTTAAAAAGAGAAATTTCTCCTTCCTCAAAGATGGTGATGAAGGGCATCTCATAACAATAGGTCAATCTATTCTCCAAAGCACCTGAAGGTAGGACAAGAAGCAACAGATGGAATCTAATCCAGGAGAGATCCAATTTAGAATCAGTGCAATGGTTTTCCTCCAGAAGTTGTAAGTGCTTCATCACTGGGGTTTTTAAAGAAGAGAATGGACAGCCATTTGCCTGAGATGGTTTACAGTTTCCTGCTTGAGCAGGGGGTTGGATAGAAGACCTCACAGGTCCCTCCCAACTCTTGTTATTGTGTCGTTCTGTTAATAGAGCAAGTGGTATCTCTGTGCTATTTCTAAGCTCTTTGTTATGAGAGCTTGAGGGAAGTTGCCTTGATTATTCAGAACAGACAACTCAAGATAGAAAGAGCTTGTGGGATTCACTGTTACTGTAGACAATCATGATGATGAGAGAGTAGAAAGGTTTCACCAGGAATGAAGTCCTATTACCAGCTGTTCTCCAGGATTGCCGATCAAAGCTTGGGAACATAGAATTCAGGATAACACTTCAGTTCTTTCCTCAGTTTTGGGCTCCCTGCAAAAACGGTATGGACTTTGCAAGAGACCATGTTTCCCAGATCCCTCAGGGGTGACCACTAGGTAGAGCC